ACTTGCCACGGTCTCCAACCCTCCTCCTTTCTCATCCGGGCTTGGGACCGGCCATGGCGGAGTTAAACTTCTTTATAATTTGTTAAACGTTGCGATTTAAATCATTGGCATGAAAATGTCATTTTGTACTTGAAACGACTTTGCTCTCTGAATAGAACAATATAACAGCGAATAAACTTACTGTAATTTAATGATGATTACAACATACAACAACTTCAGTCGTATGCATTCATTAGCGACCGTGCGTGACCTGATAATATGATTTTTGATTCATTAAGAATTCGTATCAAGCTAGCATGGAGGAAAAGGATGAAACTCTTGTCAGGAGCATCAGTGAAAATATATACAAAACGCGAACCTATGATCTGAACATCACTTACGACAAATATTACCAGGTGCCTCGCATGTGGCTTTGTGGTTATGACGAGGTATTTCATTTTTCGGCGTTTATGCAGTTCCCTCGCTTTCTGCATCGGGAAAAGTTTTCTAGAGGCGCAAGCTTCTGAGTGTCGAAAAAATGTACGAAGATTTTTCGGAAGATCACGCTCGAAAGACGTTAACAGTAGAAAGCCATCCTCATATTTCTGGTCCACCGATGGCGTCTATTCATCCATGTAGGCATGCAGTGGTCATTAAAAGACTAGCCGAAACACTCGAAGAAAATGGCAAGGCGCTCGAAGTTCATCAGTAAGTATTTTTCAGCTTAGTGCGAACTTTTTGATGTAATTTTTTAACTTTAATTCTTTTTGTTTCGACTGTTTTAAACTGAATTCGAACAGACTTATTCGGATCTGTTCGCCATTTTCGTTACAGACTAATGCATCTATTCTTTTTGTGCATCTCTAGTGCATCTGCTCTCTTCGTTCATTTAAGTGGGAAAAGCGCAACAAGTCACGCGTTTGCAGGAACTTCGGCAACGTTGTAGTTTCTTCATGGTTTTATTCTCAAGATATCCTTAGTTCGCATGATGATATTTTTCTGTGCACATCGACAGTTTTAAACTGGAAAATCTGAAGTGATCGTTACCTCAATCTAAAATTCGTTCAATAGAGCGCTGCGTTCGTAGTCGAAAAGGTCGTTGCTTCGAATTCCGATTGATGCCACTCACTTTCCTTTCGATCTAGTAGACGGTAATCTATATGGGAAGAAAACAAAAGCTGCCTGCTATGCTTGCCACGCAGCTACCGATATTGCCTAAATAAGTGAAGCGTTCTTGGCTGAAGCATAAAAACATCAGAGCAGAACAGCACAGCAACACAACTTAAAAAATACTGCAAAACAGAGTCCACTGCAAAAATGCTTAGGGTACGCATTAGAGAGCAATACAGTGTGCATCTTTAAAACAGATCTATTTCAGCGATGTACGTGCTCTTTGCCGCAGCGGTGAGCAATGCCTCTTATAAATCAAGCTCCAAGTTGAAGCCGGCGAACATCAGCAATCTAGGCAACTCTACTGTTCAAGCTTCGTTGTAGCCTTTGATGATGATGAAAAGAATTACAACTGACGACCAACATTCCATGATTGAAAGCGTTCTTTTCCTTTCCCGAAAGCTAGAATCCCAAAATTTACCATGTAAGTCGAAGGCTCTTTCCCGCTTAGTCTCATATATGCTAAACAGCATATAAAGACTGTAAATCATAATTTAATTGAGTAGTTTATTCGCATTTTACTTCTCATACCACGAATTCAACAAAAAGCTACATTTATTAAAGTCAAGGTAATACTGAAGTTTCGAATTCTTTGATTCACAACAATTCAACGATCTTTCACTTCCCTTTCCCGTTTCGTCCTTATAAGATCCGTTTTTTCTTAGTCATCAATTGCTGAAATACAGAAGTTCATTTATTTTTATTTTGCTCGTCTCTTTTCAGATGAGACTGTGTAATGCCTCTGACTTTCCGATCACGCCAGACAATTACAGCCATTGTGGAAGGGGGAGGAATCACGCTCTACGATCCCTCGTATTACAGCTATGCTTCTTTGGGAAAGCAGATAGGCGATTGTTTATTTTCAGCTTCCATTTCCTCTAAATATTCTGAACGTGTTCTTCGGTAATATCCGGTCCTATTTAGGTTCAAAGAGTCTGGCAGTATTGAGATCGGCTCAGCGAGAAGATTGGATAGGTAGAACAGAACCTTAGTCATTCCAAGTGATCGAATATGGTCGGAAAGAAATTACATTTCAAAAAAATATATAACTATTAATATGATTTTTGCGTAGAGCCCATTCAGGCATGTGGAATAGCAATCTCTACAGCATCAATAAGTAGATTCGTATAATGGGGCTATGTTAATAGGCTTACTGCGATCATTTTACACCGCGTTATTGCACAGCTTCATTACTCAAATAGGCTAATGGGGCCGTTTATTTATGCTAATACTCAACTCTCTGAGTTGCATTTTAGCAGCTCATATGCATTTTAACTTTTAATATTAAAATGGTTCATTACTTCGTTTAGATACTTATTGTTATTCCTGAAACTTATGCAAGCGGTGATCCCAACTATCGAATACGATTACACTAGGAACATTACGTTTTGATCTCGCGCGCCGAATTGCTGTTTCTAATGACTGATATTCATTCGGCTTAAAACTTTTGTTGTTTCCGGTGTCATATTTTATCGTTTCTTGATTAAACCGCTCACCCTAATTGCAACCAAGTTGCTTCGTCAGTGACTGTCTACAAAAGTCTGCGAAATTTGCAACAGAGTGATTATAAATGATAGTCGATTGCTAGCATCAGCGCCCGGTATGACGAGTGGCCTTTAGATGGTCAAAGCGAAAGTACTATGAGCAGAATAAAACAGCGTTCGTATGAAAGACTAGTATGTATGACACTGGACTAGTCAGAGTATTAGACAGAAACGTCATGCAACAGTACGACAGTCCAGACGTGATGGTCAACACGCTGGGTAGTAATGCCAAGCAGTCACAGTTATGAACAAAAGTGCAGCGAGAATTTCCAAATGTCATTAAGCAGCATAGAGTACGTTATCCGCAGGTCTATTGGTGCAAGACAATTTCTAAAGTTACGGTAGGATGGATATGATAATCAAGTTCGACCATCCTGTTCATTGAACACTCTTTCATAATGTCTTTTCCCATTCAGATAAAGCATACCGTCTACAAGAAAAAACCATAATCATCAGTCAGTGCCAGGCGAGTTCAAGGATATGTGAAGTCCTTACCGGCATAGGTTCGAGGCATGAGTTGTTTCACGGGTTCGCCGTCAGTGCCGAAAAAGAAATGGAACGTGTTCGTCGTTTCTTTTGTACGCTTTCTAATGTCTAACACTTCAGCCAACACTCTCACGTGTACATGGTTTCCATTTGTGTAGCAAACCTTGAAAACTTTTTGTTAAAATCGACGTAGCGTAAACAGTCTACTGTTTAAAGCTACGAATAAAAGGTTCTGAACTGCCAGAAGAATAGCTGATTAGAGTAAAATGTAACAGTTTTACAGAACTAAGAAATTTATTTAGCTGAAGATCTAAAACAGACCAAGAGTTGCCTTGTGAGCAGAGGAGTTCATGGAGCATTCTAAATAATCAGCGGATTTAAATGAATGCTGGATTTCACACATTCGAGTCGCAAAGCATTGGCACTGCTGCACCACCTTGGCACAGCTGAACGTACAAAGCACCTAGTTGCGAAAATTCTCGCTGTCACTGTTTACACCCTCTGTACGTCTAAAACACCGGCGGATAGCCGCCCGCAGAACAGTTTAAAAAGAATATTTTCTAAATTTTGGCAACTGTCCGCTAGCAAGCCCTATATCCGCCCTATACACTCTAGAGGAAATAAACGTGGCAGTGGTGGCCACGAAAAACAAGAAGGTCGCTGGTGTAGATGGAATTTTCCCGTAGTTCCTTAAGAACTTGGGTCCAAAGAGCTGCCAGTGGCTGGCTTCTCTTTGAAAGCAATCTATACAACCGGAGAAATTCCGTCCGCCTGGCGGTGGGCCAAAGTCGTTGACCTCCTAAGGCCATGAAAACCTTCGGATAGGCTAGACAGCTCCAGACCTATCTCTTTACTGTG